CTTTCATAGGCATCTTTCTCCAGCATTTCTTTCACATTCCTTTTTGGCTCCAAGGAAGTGGTGATGAACTGCTACTGAACCCCTGCAGGACATGTGGCGTAGGTGTACCTATGATGCTCTTCAGAACAAAAGGAGGCCATTCAACCCATCAAGCCTGGTCCTATATTAAATGAGATCATGGCTAATCTGTACCTCAGCTCCATATCCCTTGCCTTACAAATTTCTATCTGGTTCGTTGTTGAAGGTCTGTATCATTTTGGCTTTTTTTGGGGACAAAAAAAAACTTCTTGATTTCTACAATGCTTTATGTGGCAAACATGCTTCTGATCTCCCTCCTAAATAGTTTAGCACTGATGGTAACATAAGATTCAGTCAACACAACATCTAAAGATAAGAACCCCCACCCCCCGCCGATGGAAGAAATAGCTCCTGTGCATCAACCTTTGACCTTTTTAATCATTTTAAGCACCTCAACCAGATCATCCCTCAAACTTCTCAAGTTAATTTTGCTTTTGTTTTCATTTCTGGTTGAAACCACCTCAATTATTTTGCCAAAGTAAACTACTGCATGTGCTGGAGAGCTTAAAGATAACTGTCTGACATCAACTGCAGCGCAAGAAAGCATTAATTTTTCAAATCCAATATGGTTCTTTCTCTGAACTATTTGTGCTGTTCCGTTTATTTCTATTCAACATAGAGTGAGTGACCTCAGCTTTAAACCGGACAGTTGTTGATTGGATAATTAATTAAACAAATTAGTTAAAGTTTGCAACCAATCACTCAATTAGATAAACAGTTTAAAATCCAATGAGGTACTGATGGGTCAAAGGTGCTTTGACTAATCTGTGACAAACTTACATCAATTCAATGGAGGTAATTTTTGTTTTGTGCATTATAAAGTAGGTTAAATAATTGCATGCTGGATTTTATATTAAGAAAAGCAGCAGTGTTGTCAATATAGAAATTATCATTGTGTTTGAATAATGTTTAGATTTGTGATAAATCAAAGCACAAATATCACTGTTAAAGGTTCAATCTCTTCTGAAATGTTTTGACTTTAAATATTTTTGAATGCATTTAAATGTTTTTACAATCATAAATGAGGTGGGTACTTGTAGTACAGTAGTAGTGTCCCCACCTCTGAGCAAGGAGGCTCAGGTTCAAGTCTCATCTGCTCCAATGGTGTGTAATACCATCTGTGAATAGGTTGATTAGAAAATACCTAATATAGATATTAAGTCCTCTGCCTAAGTTGTTGGGTGATTAACAAATTAGTAACAACAAGCACTATTTAGAGGGTTCTTGTAGTGCAGTAGTAGTGTGCCTAGCTTTGAGCCTGGAATTCAAGTCCTACCTGCTCCAGACATTTATGTAATATCTCTAAACTGGTTGATTAGGAAAATATCTCATAATGAGGGTTAATGTTTCTCAGGGAGGAGTGGAGTAAGATTATCAGTAGTTCTCATCTTTCTTCCTGTGGTCTCTATTCATGTTCATCATTCTAGGTTTCAGCTCAACTGGGTAGTCACATAAATAAATAGAACTCTGACCATCTATGTTATAACATACTCTCTCAAGTATATACTAGGGCAGAATGGAAATGCAGGATTTAGAAAATAGAACAACACAAGAATGGGCCCTTTGGCCAATGATGGTGTGCCGAACGTGACGCCAAATGAAACTAATCCCTTTTAACCTACCCTTGGTTCTTACGCTCCATGACTTGCATATTCATATGCTTATCTAAAAGCCTCTTACACAGCCCAATCACTTTTTTTTCCTTTATTCACTCTCAGGATGAGGGTGTCACTAGCTAGGCAGCATTTATTGCCCAGAGAGCAGTTAAGAGTCAACCACATTGCTGTGGTTCTGGAGTCATATGTAGGCCAGACCAGGTAAGGATGTCGGTTTCCTTCCCTAAAGGACATTAGTGAACCAAATGAGTTTTTTCAACAATCGACAATGGATTCATAGTCATCATTAGATTCTTAATTCCAGATATTTATTGAATTCAAATTCCACCATCTGCTGTTGGTTTGCACCCAGGTCCCCAGAACATTATCTGGATCACTGGATTAACAGTCTAGTGATAATACCACGAGGCCATCTGCCTACACCATCACTCCTGGCAGTGTGTTCCAGACACTTGCCACTCTGTTTTTTAAAAAAATTGCCCCTCACATCTCCTTTGAACTTTCCCCATCTTGCCTTAAATGCACGTCCCCTAGTATTAGACATTTCAACTCTAGGGAAAAAGATTCTGACCATCAACCCTCTCATAATTTTATAGATTTCAATCAAGTCTGCCTCAGCCTCCACTGCTCCAGAGAAAACAACACTAATTTTTCTAGCTTCTCCTTAGCCAATACCGTCTAATCCATTTTCTGAAGGGTCTAGGCCCGAAACGTCAGCTTTCCTGCTCCTCTGATGCTGCTTGGCCTGCTGTGTTCATCCAGCTCTACATCTTGTTATCTCACCCTCTAATCCAGGCAGCATTCTGGTAAACCTTTTCTGCACCCACTCCAAAGCCTCCATATCCTTCCTGTGCTGTAATTTGTGACCTATCATGATAAAACTCTTTTTCACTTCTTAGTTGAAATTCTCCCCCCACCAAATTTTGGTGACATTGCGATAATATCAATGGATTCCTCATCCAGAGAACCAGGCTGGGGGTACTAGGTACCTGGATTCAAATCCCACGCCCACCTCACAAGTAGTAGAATTTAAATTCACTTAATAAAACCTGGAATTGAAAGCTAGTCTGAGCGATGGTAATGAAATTACCATTAATTGTTGTGAAAAAGCTAGGTGGTTCCCTGATGCTCTTTCGAGAAGGAAATCTGACATCTTACCCGATCTGGCTTACATGCATCTCCAGATCCACGGTAAGGTGGTTGACTCTTAACTACATCAATGAGCTAATAATAAACGGTGGCTCAGTGGTTAGCACTGCTGCCTCACAGCGCCAGCAACCTGTGTTTGATTCCACCCTCAGGTGACTGTCTGTGTGGAGCTTGCACATTCTCCCCGTGTCTGCGTGAGTTTCCTCCCACAGTCCAATGTTGTGCAGGCTAGGTGGATTGGCCATGCTAAATTGCCCATCGTGTTCAGGGATGTGTAGATTAGGTCAGTTACAGGGGAATGGGTCTGGGTAGAATGGTCTGAGGTTCAGTGTGGACTTGTTGGGCTGAAGGGCCTGTTTCCACACTGTGGGGATTCTATGATTCTAAACTACTTAATTGGCAGGTTTTCAGAGATGCTGACATCCCATCAAAACCATCGCCCCGTTTTGCGGAATCACTGTGTTTGTGAAACTGGGGGAGGGTCAGCTATCCAGAGCTGACCAGAGCCTAAAATGAGGAACTG